AATGTACTCTCTTCAGAGAGTCTTCTTTTACCACCAAGTATAAATTAAAATATAAACTGTAAGACCCAATGGCCTTATTCCGGTCTGCGCTTCTCCCTCAGTGAGGAGATGAAGGCCACGGCAGATCAATGCAACAAGCAAGAGATTTATTATTCCAGCTAGCTGGGGTCCAAGTGTCTGCCCGGCACAGCGGGTTTCAACAAGGACCCCGAGCACTCAAAGCCAAGGGTTTATATAGCATTTTCAAAGCACTTAACTCATAGTAATTTCCCACAGCTATACATTATTCTTGCAAGACATACATCCTGGGGTTAGGCAGAAGCAAGAGAAGACCACTCCTCAATTGTCAGGGCGGTTCCACAGGATAAGCTTGGTATGTAGGATTAACTGACCAAGGCTAGCTGACCAAGGGTCACCACTGCCTGATTCTGGTGCTCATGATTGATTAACTTGTTTTTCAAAGCCTTACCCAGTTCCAGTTTTTCTTTCTAAGTCACACACACTCAGAAAATGGCTTCTATGCCCTTAAGATGGCTACACTTATGCTAACCTATTTCCATTCTTACACACGCCTCTTCTTCTTGTATCGATTTCAATCATGAAACTAGGGGTCATGTGTTTGGTCAACACTCTGATAGTTCTGTCTCAACACCATGATTTGCACAGTGCTAATGCGTTCTTTGATAAAGGTAACTAGGTGGTTTAGGATGCAGGGGCCAAAAGTTAGAATTAATATTAAGATTATTAGTGGCCCTACTAGAGTAGAGATGAGGGTAGTGAACCATGGCGAGGAGTTGAACCAGTACTCAAACCACCCTTGGTTTTGTTCTCTTTCTCTTTTCCTTTTAGCTAACCCTTCTCTAACTTCGGCCATGGAGTCTTTTACTACTCCTGAATGATCTACGTAGAAGCAACATTGTTCTTTAAGGGCAGCGCACAGTCTGCCTTGTTGGAGGAATAACATGTCTAACCCTCTTCTATTTTGTAAGACTACTTCTGATAAAGAAGTTAAAGAGTCTTGCAGGGTGGATATGGATTTCTCTATTTCTTCTAAGTTTGCATCTATGGCTTCTCTGAGACTGTGGTAATGCTGGTTCAGGAGAACTAATGAGGATGCTCCTGTGGCTGCCTCCGCTGCTCCTAGGCCAAGGCCTAGTAAGAGGGAGATAGTCAGACTCACGGATTCTCGTTTGACTCGGGGCGAAGACTGGCTTAGTTGGGACAGGACTTGGTCATAAGGATGGTAAATAAGGCGGGGTATTAATTGTACTAGAACACAAAAGTCAGACGTTTCGCTTAACTTCTGGGAATGAACACATGGAGTGACTCCAGTTTGGCAGGCCCACCACCCATTAGATGGGGGAATATAATAAGTTGGGGTGGTGCTTATTACTTCTGTCTTGTTGCAGAGGGAGGTGTAAGTTTTAGGAACTTTCCCAATGCAGGTTCCTTGCCCACTTACAGAGGATAAAGTGAGTCTTGGTCCTTTCTGCTGCCATCTACACTGGGAGGGGTCAGAAGACTGGTTGAGAGCATTAACAAACGCTATACCTTCATAGTAAGGGGGAGCAACATCATAGCATAACCAGCAGGAGCGAGTTAGCTCAGGACGGGAATTGTTGACAACTTGGAAAGCACCTCTGATTAGACTAAGAAGCCGGGATGGCTGGCTTTCCACAGCGGGGGCTGGTGTCCAAACTGGGCTCAGGCTCTGGGGAAGGGACTTAGGGGGCTGTGTCACTTTGAGGGGCTGTCTAGGGGTTTTGGGTGCTTTGGGTTTCAATAATTTATTTGGACCTAAGGCTATCTCGACTATTGGCTCAACTTTTAATTTGACTCGGATAAGGGTTCCAAAGGGAGGGGTCTGATAAAGATATAGGCCCCAGGTTAACCCTGTCTGCCATTGGGTGTCTTTTTTCCCTTGTTCTGTGAACTGGAGCTTGAGCAGATTACAGTCTGGGCTGTACCTAGTTCGGGTGCACGGTTTAACAAATGAGAGAGTGATGAGCTGGGGAGTTACTTGCCACTTCCACTCCCCATCATTGGTGGTAACACAACTCCAGCGTGCACAGTATCAGGACTCGGCCCCTCCACACTGCTGCTTCTCTGGCCCTGTTCAAAACCCTGGGCACGCATGAAACCCATTTTGACTCACAGAGACTCGGTGCTGCTTTTCTCACCAGTCTCCCCCTCCCATTCCATCCGGACAGAACTGAGGGGCGCAGGGAAGAGGGGGGCCTGAATGCTGACTCCTGCCCTTTCCGCCTCTCTTTTCTAAGTCTGCTACTCTATCTAGGTTAAAGTACAGGTTAGGGAACCACGTGCCTAAGGGGGTTGTGTGGGAAGTGCGATTGTATATTTCATGAGTCTCCCAGTTCTCTATTTCCCAGGTGAGCTGATAGGGGACATGGGGGTTAGGGTCGCTGAGTGCAATAGGGGAAAGGCACAATATATATAATATGAGCGGCACAGTCTTAGCTTTTGTGAATTGTCTTTGTCCAGCTGACATGGTCATCTTGGAATAGAGTTTTTGGGAATGGTGCATGGGTCAGCTGAATGGCGCTGGTGTCTCCAGACGTGCATCTGGTCACTTTAGGGGTCTTCTGGTGATTTTAAGCCAGAGAGGATTCTCAGTAGACTGGGCTCTCCACGCGAGATGGTTATTAGCTGTCTTGGCTGAGATAACAGGTTTCACATGAGATGCGCGAATCCAGGCGGCAATCCTGTCGACTGCTGTTGGGGTGGTCAGCAACACTAAGTAGGGTCCTTTCCACCGTGGCTCGAGGGTCTGTGCTTGGTGCTGCCTTACAAACACAAAGTCTCCAACTTGGAACGGGTGGGCTGCTTCTGGAGTGCCGGGCTCATAGACTGCTTTTAGTTGGGTCCACACTTCTCTTTGGACTGCCTGGAGAGCTTTCAACCTATTATATAAATCACGGTTGTCAGTCTGGGTAATGGGGAGGGGGTCATGCAGGCAAGTAAGCGGGGTGGGGGAGCCATACAAGATTTCAAAGGGACTTAGATTGAGATGAGTAGGGGTGTTCAGAGCTCAGAACAAAGCCAGGGGAAGGAGCACCACCCAGTTTGAGCCAGTCTCTATGGTCAATTTAGTTAAGGTCTCTTTTAGGTTTCGATTCATCCTTTCTACTTGCCCTGAACTCTGGGGTCTGTACATGCAATGTAATTTCCAATCGGTCCCCAAATACTTAGCAACTCCCTGACTTACCCGGGCGATGAAAGCGGGTCCGTTGTCAGATCCTATTACCTTAGGTATCCCGAACCAAGGAAATATTTCTTCTAATATTTTCTTTATTACTACTGCAGCTGTTTCCTGCCTTGTTGGAAAGGCTTCGACCCATCCTGAAAAGGTATCTACAAACACTAGGAGATACTTAAATTTATACTTCCCTGGTTTAATTTCAGTAAAGTCTATTTCCCAAAACTGTCCAGGCCGGTTCCCCCTTGCCTGTTTTCTAGTTCATTTCTTCTTCCCAGGTGTGTTTGTTTCTTGATAAGGAACGCACGGCTTAACTACAGATTCAGCTATCTGCTGCAGGTTAGGCACATACCACCCAGAGTTTAAAACAGTCTGAGTAAGTTTGTGCGCTCCTAAGTGTGTCCACTGGTGCATCTGTTTGATTATGGCTTTGGCAGTTGCTTGGGGCAAGATTATTTTTCTATCTTGGGTGCACCAAGCTCTTTTCTGTTCATCAAAATAGTGAGTACGGTCTTTGGAGATTAGTTCTAAATCTGCTGGGCTATATTTGTAGGGTGGCAGGCTTGGCTCAGGCTGGGTTTCAGAGAGGAAGATTTCTACAGTCTTTGCAGCCACTTCTCGGGCAGCTTGATCAGCCATATTATTGCCTACGGTGATGTAGGACTTCCTGTGTTGGTGAGCGGGGCAATGAATTATACTTACTTTGGCTGGTTTGTGCAGAGCTTCTAAGAGCCATGATTTCTGGCTTGTTTTTTATTTCTCTTCCTTTGGAGGTGAGGAGTCCTCTTTGTTGGTAAATGGCTCCATGCACATGTGCCATCGCAAAAGCATACCTGCTATCTGTATAGATGTTAATTTTCTTTCCGGACCCCAGTTCTAGCGCTCTCGTAAGAGCAATGAGCTCAGCTTTCTGTGCTGAGGTTCCCTTGGGGAGGGTCTGAGCCCACACTATTTTTTTCTCCATCTACTACAGCCACTCCTGCCTTACGCTTTCCTTGGTCTAGGTAGCTGCCTCCATCTGTGAACCAGGTGGCTTCAGTGTCTGGTAAAGGCAGGTCAGTCAAGTCTTTACGCCACCCATGGGCTTTGGCTAATACTTGCTGACAGTCATGCACTGGGGGTCTGGCAGCAAAGTGGCCGGATTGAGACTGGTCGGCGGAGAGAATGTCACCCGGTCGGAGTTGAGCAACAGGGCTTGGTAGTGAGTTATCCGAGCATTTGTAAGCCACTGATGCAGGGGCTGCTGGATTATGCTTTCTAGCACGTGCAGAGCAGTCATGGTTAGATTTTGCCCTAGGGTCAATTTGTCCGCATCTTTGACTAGTACTGCTGCTGCCACGATTATTTTCAAGCATGCAGACCAGCCGGCGGCTACTGGATCTAGTTTTTTAGACAGGTATGCTCTGGGTCGTTTCCACGGTCTGAGCTTCTGAGTTAGCACCCCTTTGGCTATCCCCCGTTCTCTGCCACGAACAGGTGGAAGGGTTTTGTCACACCGGGGAGTCCCAGAGCTGGGGCGGACATCAATGCCAGCTTAATGGTATCAAATGCCTTCTGTTCTTCCTCTCCCCAAGAGAACGATCCAGCTTTGGTGAGAGGGTAAAGGGGGGGCTGCCATCTCTGCAAACCCGGGGATCCATAGCCTGCAAAATCTTGCAGCCCCCAGGAATTCTCTGACTTGCTTAGGAGTCTCAGGCGGGGGGATATGGAGAACAGTCTCTTTCCTTGCGTCTGACAGCCACCTCTTCCCTTCTCGTAACACATAGCCCAGGTAGCTTACCTGTCATTTGCAGATTTGTGCTTTCTTGGCTGATGCCCGATATCCTAGAGTTCCTAATTCTGCCAGAAGTTTCTCTGTCCCTTTCAGGCTATCTTCTCTCATTTCGGCTGCAAGCAGAAGATCATCAACATATTGCAGCAAGGTTACCTGGGGGTTAGCTTCTTGATATAGCGCCAGGTCTTGGTTCATCGAAGAGGGTGGGGGAATTTTTTAATCCTTGCAGGAGCTGGGTCCACATGAGTTGCCCTGTCACTCCTCCGTCTGGGTCTCTCCATTCAAAGGCGAAAAGCTCTTGACTCTTCGGTGCAAGTTGGAGGCAGAAGAAGGCATCTTTTAAATCTAAAACAGTATACCAGCCTCGGAGAGGTGGCAAGGAACTTAAAAGATTATAAGGATTAGGAACCGTGGGATGAATGTCCATTACCTGCTTGTTAACTTCTCGCAGGTCTTGGACTGGACGGTATTCATTTGTGCCTGGCTTCCTGACAGGAAGAAGGGGGGTGTTCCAGGCAGATTGACATCTGCACAATATCCCCAACTGGAGGAATCAGGTGATATGGGGCCAGATTCCCTCTATGGCTTCTCTCGGCATAGGGTACTGGCGAACGGCTACAGGGGTGGCTTGTGGTTTTAGTTCGACATAGACGGGCAGCCTATGTTTAGCCTTCCCGATTCCTGCCATCTCTGCCCATGCCTGAGGGAACTTTCTTAGCCACAGGTTGAGATCTCCCGAGCCTGGGTTCTCTTTTTTGAATTCAAAGAGTCTATACTCATCTTCTAACATCACAGTCAGTATCTGGATGGGGTCCTCTGAGGGCCTTTTAAGCTGTGGCCCCTCTGGCAGGAAATGGATCTGGGCTTTCATTTTTGTGAGCAAGTCTCTTCCCAATAAAGGATATGGGCAATCCGAGATCACGAGGAAAGAGTGAGACACTAATCCTGTTCCCAGGTCTACCATCCGTGCAGTGGTCCAAGAGTACAATTTATTTCCCGTGGCTCCCTGGACCCATGATTTCTGATTTGAGAGCCATCCATCAGCTTGTTGCAATACTGAGTGCGATGCCCTGGTGTCTACTAAGAATTGAGTAGGTTTCCCCTCCACAGTTAGGGTTACCCTAGGTTCGGGAAGGGGCTTCGAACCCCGTCCCCCCTAATCACTGCCTTCGTGCATGGTCAGAATTTTAGGGTAGGCAACGGTTTTTCCCACTGCTGAGGTTTCTTTCTCTTGTTTGGGCATTCTCTGGCCCAATGTCCCTTCTCTTTACAGTACGTGCACTGATCTTTATCTAGCTGTTGTCTCCTGCCGCCTGGCCCTGGCTTAGGTTCTCTGGTCTCTCTCACAACAGTGGTGAGGATTTTATGGAGGTTGCGTTCTTGCCGTCTTTCTTTCCTCAGCTCTCTTTCCTTAGTCTCTTGCAGCTTCCTACCTTGTTTTTCCTCTTCAGTCTCTCTATTATGATACACTTTCTCTGTCACCTGTACTATGTCTCGCAGGGTTTTGTCCTGCAGTCCTTCTAGCCTCTGCAATTTCCTCCTAATGTCTCTACTAGATTGATCTATAAAAGCTACAATAACTGTGGCTTTATGTTCCTCACTGACTGGATTATATGGAGTGTACTGCCGAAAAGCCTCTATGAGTCTTTCTACAAATGCTGAGGGGGATTCATTGGGTCCTTGAAGGACTCCCCTTACCTTAGCCAAATTGGTGGGGTGCCTTGCCGCTCCCCTGAGACCTGCCATCAGAGCCTGGCAGAAGACTTTCAGGTTCTCCTTACCTTCCGGGGTGTTGAAGTCTCAATCAGGTCTGGTTAGGGGGAACCCCTCCTCGATAATGGCTGGGTTCTGAGTGGGTCACCCATCGGCCCCTGGTACATTCTTCCGGGCCTCTAGGAGGATCCGGTCTTTTTCTTCCGTGGTAAACAGGACCTGTAACAACTGGTTGCAGTCATCCCAAGTGGGCTGATGGGTGAAAAGTAAAGATTCAATCAGATTGATCAACCCTCTGGGATTTTCTGAAAAAGGGGGATTTTGGGCCTTCCAGTTGTATAGGTCTGAGGAAGAAAAAGGCCAATACTGTAGGAGTTTCTGGCCATCCTCAGAGGGTGGGCCGAGGGCTCGAAGGGGAAGTGTCACAGCGGCTCCTGGTGAGGGGGCCCAGCAGCTCCTTGGCCCTCCGGCTGGGCCAACATTCTGCCCTCTGCTGGCCTGAGGGGTTGGAGGAGGTGGGGGAATGATGGGAATGGGAGGGACAGGAGGAACGGGAGAGGGGGGGGAAGGAATAGGGACCGGGGGGCAGCAGGTTGTGGGGGAGCAGTAGGAGGGTATGGAGGGGGAGAATCGAGGAGGAGGAGATCTGCATCGGGGGGTGAAGGCAGAACTTTCTTAGGTTCTTTTGGGTCTTTGTGGAGCTAAAAAACCTGTGAAGATGGGTGGGGTAAGAAGGGCTGAACCCAAGAGGGGGGTTCTGTGACTAAGCTTTCCCAAACAAGAATATAAGGAGTCTGGTCTTGGCGTGCACAGAATCCGGTATCAAAAACTTTCTTCTTGACTGCCTGTATAAGGGGTAGAGAGAAAGATCCCCCGGGAGGCCAGCCAACCTGAAAGGCCAGCCAATTGGCTGAGGCCAGAGTATTCCATTTATCCTTTTTAACAAGAACAGACATATTATTTGCTCTACTCTTTATGTCCTCCCAGTGTCTTAAAGTCAAGTCTAAAGGAGTCGTCTGTGTCTGTCCCATTTCTTCTGTCAGTAACAAAACTAGGATAAACACAATAGCTAACAAACAGGCGCCTACAGAAAAGAATCTACTGCAGCCGCGGAGGCAAAACTGACACTGAGTTGAGGGCCTGTTGGACTGCAGCGGCAGCCGACTTTCCTCACAGATGAGGACCTCGTCCTCCAGATGGGGGCAAGGGACGTCTCCCAAGACCCTTGGCCGGTGACCTGCCAGCGCGTCCGCCTAAGTCAATGCCGACCCAGATACAGGTTGGAGCTCCTACAGGCTTTATACAGGTTTCAGGTTTGTTTGCAAACAAAAACACTGGGTGTGCTCATCATCCTGCAAGGCACTTTCTGATTAAACACAGAACGTTCTTACAGGTTTGACAAGAGACACACGGATACAAACACAGTATTACCTGGCCAGGGCAAGCCTCTGATCCTTGGCTTGTCGTTCCTCCGGGAGGGGGGGGGGCATGCGATCCCAGACGAGCCCCCAAATGTAAGACCCAATGGCCTTATTCCGGTCTGCACCTCCCCCTCAGTGAGGAGACGAAGGCCACGGCAGATCAATGCAACAAGCAAGAGGTTTATTATTCCAGCTAGCTGGGGTCCAAGTGTCTGCCTGGCACAGCAGGTTTCAACAAGGACCCCGAGCACTCAAAGCCAAGGGTTTATATAGCATTTTCAAAGCACTTAACTCATAGTAATTTTCCACAGCTATACATTATTCTTGCAAGATATACATCCTGGGGTTAGGCAGGAGCAAGATAAGACCACTCCTCAATTGTCGGGGCGGTTCCGCACAATAAGCTTGGTATGTAGGATTAACTGACCAAGGCTAGCTGACCAAGGGTCACCGCTTCCTGATTCTGGTGCTCATGATTGATTAACTTGTTTTTCAAAGCCTTACCCAGTTCCAGTTTTTCTTTCTAAGTCACACACACTCAGAAAATGGCTTCTAGGCCCTTAAGATGGCTATGCTTATGCTAACCTACTTCCATTCTTACAAAACCAAACTAGTGTTTTGTTTCACTTAATAAAAATTTTAATCAATCATTTATTTATTTTAGTTGCTTGATGATTGTCTCATCTAGACTGTAAGCTCCATAAGGCTTGAGAGCATTTTAATCTTATCTTCTATTTCCTGTTTTAGTACTGTGACTAACAGTAAACACTGTTGAATAGATGGATGGATGAACAAATAAGAAAAACTGAATGTAGCAAATTATTAGGGTATTTAACCAGGACACAGACTTTCACTTGCTTATTGGTTTGTGGACATTTATCTAGGACTGCTAGCATTCCTAGTAGTGGAATGTAATTTCCAAAGCTTAGGTTTTTCATTGACCACAAATACCCAACCCACTGTTTTCACATTTTCTGAAAGCGCCTGTGCTCTGGCAGAATAAAACTCCCTCTCCCTCCAGCAGCTACTCAGATTTCAGGGTTTCCAAACTTGTTGCAGCCTACCTCTCTCTTCTTGCAGTCTGTTTCTTTGCCATGTTGATCAACTGATGCTGGTGCCAGGTCCAAGGCTCCAGGTTGTTGTTTTTGCTCTCAAACTCTAACTCTCACTGTTTATGCCTCAGAGAGCATGCTATTTGGGCTAAGGCTGCTGACAGCATAAATACCGAACTGTTGCCTACTTGGGTTAGGCATTGTGTAATTCAAGTAGTCTGGATATAGAAATGTTTCCAAACGCAACTCTGCCAGTGTGTAGCTTGAAGGCAAATGACACCACTACTCTTTTTTTTTTAATGGTTGTCGTTTCAACCATTAAAAAAAGGAAGTGTGCTTTTTATTAAGCTATTACATTATCCCATAGCAGTATTACCTGAAATGATAATGAATAAGCAAATATTTGACAAAATTTAAAGCTTTTTTTTCAACAAGAGAGTTGGAAGAGATAATTAATAATGTCCCTTAAATTCCTAACACTTTATAATACCAAAATAGTTTTTGTAGTACCCATGAGCGACTATCTTTTCTTGAGATAAATATTATTTTCATATCTGTTCATGAGGTTACCCTCCACTACCACAATGAGAAACATAAGTATATGTCACCAAGGCTACTTACAGCATCAATTATTTTTCCCAAACTATGCAAGCCTGAGTCTGGCATCACTATTTTTACTTTGTAACTTCAACATGCCAATCCTATAGCCTTGCTTGTGATTTAATATGAGCCCTTTGAACTGCCTTTATTTATTTATTTTGAGTTCTCAGCCAGACTTGTTACTAGTATAAATGTCTACTGTGCTCATTCTTCCATCCATGCAACTCTGCCCTTTTCTTGGCTGGATGCCCTCTTCTCCTTTTCTCTACTTGGTGAACTCCTCCGCAGATTCCTCATTTCAAGCCTGGCACTACATATCCTCGATCATTTTGATTTTTGCTATTCTTACTTAGGATTCTTAACATGAGACCTATATACAGTAGGCCTTGAGATTCTCATACTTCCCTGGAGGGTGGGGAAGGACTGTATTGTGAAAGAGGCAGATTCCTTGGCCCCACTGTTCCCTCTAACTCAGTAAGTCTGGTGCAAGGCTTGGGAATCTGCATTTCATACAAGCATCCCAGGTGATCTGACAAAAACTGTAGCCCATGCTTTAAGCAGTACTGAGAATGTCAGGGGATTTGTAAACCTCCAGACGATGTTTATAATATCTTGTTTCTATATTTGTATTTGTATTTCCCTGAGGGGAGGTTTCATAACTTTCAACAGATTATTAAAGGAGTCTGTGATAAAAATCACTTTTGTAAAAGCAATACATTATAATGTTAAATATTTACCATGAGGATATATTTGTCCTTATTGAATGAAATATACCTTCTTCCCTATTTGACAATAGAACATGAACTCAGGAATATCAATCTCCCTTTTATAAAGAAGTCAGTTTTGAGTAATGGTAAACTATAGGTAGTCCTTATAGAAAATAAGAAAAACAGGAAAATGTAAATGAGAAGGAAAACATTAATCCACAACCTCACACAGCAACTATTAATGTTGTTATATTTTCTTTAAAATATTATTATCAAGAGTCTAACATATGTATTTTACTCTGTAAAGCCCTGTTAGATATACCAAAAAAAGACAAATTTTTCAGTTGATTAAGGGCAGTAGACACACACACACATACACACAAACCCGGATTGATTGAACACTTTAAGTTCTGGAATACCAGACATTTAATATAAAGTAGGTAGTACATATGTATAAAGCTGGAGGAAATGGTGGTTCCCCATTTCCACCTGCCATGCTCATTTTAGCAGGAAAAATACAAAATTAGTAGCTGGAAAAATCTGGACCCTCTCCATCACTTCCTATTTGTAATAATTCTAGATAAGTCATTTAATATTTCTGGGCTTCTGATGATGCTTGATCTCTTATAAGGATAATGGGACATAATCTTTCTGAAGATAAGACACAGAACTGTATGATACTCTGACATCCCATGTGGATATATAGATACACATATATAGATATATAGATAGATAGTTATATCCACATGTATACATATATAACTATATATACATGCATGTCTGTATAAAATTATGTTGACCTTTTGAAAAATGCAGAAGAGTGCAAAGGAATAAAAATAATCTATATTCTTAGAACCCAGAGATAATAACTATTATTCAGAAACTTTTTTCACACATAAAAATTCAAGCAGCACCCACTTTGGCTTGGCACTTTAAGACATGCAAAATATGTCTAATAAAATGACCTGTGCCCTATGATGGATTTTTATTTAAAAGTAAACATTAATGCAAGGGATGTAGCATTAAGTCCAGAAAAGAATCAAACCCAGCACTTGTATTTGTACCCATAGAATGTCAAATGCACTTTCTGTAGACATTACACACTTATCAGCCTATGATTGTGTTTCAGAATATACATACAAACTTTACTATAAAATTCAACAGAGTGCTTTCCAACTCCCACCTTCTGTGAGCTGTCATAATCATGAAACAGAAAACTGAAAAATACAGAACTGACTTGATTAGTATCTGTA